AATGATGTACACCTGAAATTTATACAATGTTATAAACCAATGTTACTGCAATAAACAAAAAATTTAAAAAAAAAAAAGAATAACTCTAGAGTAGGGGTTGGCAAACTATGGCCCATGGGACAGATCTGACCCATTGCCTGTTTTTATGTAGCTTGTGAGCTAAGAAATTTTTTACACTTTAAAATGGTTGGAAAAAAACAAAAGAAGGATAATATTGTATGAGATGTGAAAATTATAGGAAATTCAAATTTCAGTGTCCACAAATAAAGTTTTGTTGGAACACAGTCATGCTCATTTGTTTATGTGTCGTCTGTGGCTGCTCTTCATGCTACAAGGGCAGAACTAGTAGTTGTAACAAGGACTGTGGAGTCTGCAAAGCCTAAAATATTTACTCACTGGCCCTTTACAGGAAAAAATTTGCCAATCCCTGATCTAGAGGACTAATGACTCATTTTCTTCAACAAAAAAAATTGCAAGGGAACAAAAAGAGGTGAAAGAAAGAAGCAATGGTTTAAAAGAGACTTAAGAGACATACAAATTATCACAATATGTGGATCTTATTTGGATTCCTGTTTAAAAAAATGAAACAATGTAAAAAAAATCAGAAATGTGAACAGTGACAAAGATATTTGATGATATTAAAGAATTATTCGTTTTTAAATGTATGATAATGGTTTTATGGTTCTGTTTTAAGACCTAGAGCATAAGTCTATGCTTTAAGACTCTTCTTAAAGATAAAGATAAAATGTATCTTTTAGAGCTACATTCTGCAATATTTGCAGACATCCACATTTGCTTCAGAATAACCCAAGGAGTGAGGGGTTATTGGGAGTGGGTGTAAGTGAAATAAGATTGGCCATGTTATGAAAATTGTTGTAACTGGAAGATGGGTCCGTGGTGGTTCATCATACTATTTTACTGTTTTCTGTACTTTCATTTATGTTTGAAAATCTGCATTACAGAATTAAATCAATTATTTCAAAATAAAAGTTTTTAAAAAATTGAAAAATAAAAAAATAAAAAATAAAATCTACACTCTTAGCAAATTTGAAGTGTACACGACAGTATTATTAACTACAGTTACCGTGCTATACCTTAGATCTCCAGAACTTATTCATCCTGCATAATTGAAACTTTGTACGCCTTGATCAACACCTCCTATTTCCCCCACCCCCGCCTCTGGTAACCACCATTCTACTCTCTGATTCTAGGAGCTTGACTTTTTCAGATTCCAAGTGGGATCATGCAGTATTTGCCTTTCTGTGTCTGGCTTATTTCACTTAGCATAGTGTCCTCCAGGTTCATCCATGTTATCGCAAATGACAGAATTTCTTTCTTTTTAAGAATGAATAATATTCTATTGTGTATATATATACACTACGTTTTCTTTATCCATTCATCCGTTGATGGATACTTAGGTTACTTCCATGTCTTGGTTATTGTGAATAATGCTGCAATGAACATGGGAGAGCAGATACCTCTTTGAGATGCTGATTTTATTTCCTTTGGAAATATATCCAGAGGAGAAATTGCTGGATCATATGGTAGTTCTATTTTTAATTTTTGAGGAACCTCCATACTGTTTTCCTAATGGCTGTACCATGTCACTTAACTTTTCTTCCCTCCCAAGAAAAATTTGAGCTTGTTGTACTTTGTAGAATTCCACATTGTCTCTCTCGGTGCTATGCATATAATAGACATCAGTTAATATTTGTAGAAAAAATGGTATCTTACTTCATTAGACATAGAGATCAACATCTATTGGTTGAGCAATGGGTGGAAAAGTATAGATACACCGAGCTTCTCCCCCAGAGCTCTAGATGTATCTCCTAGTCCTTATTAGTGACCACTGGTGATTCTTTGCTCCTGTTTTCTCTGTGCTTGGTATGTAGGAAGCTTCTTTGTGAAATGCACACAAATAGCAATAAAGGACAGGCTCTGAAATTTTGCCTTTAAACCAATTGCCAGATAATATTTATTCCCACATTAATCCAGTTCAACGTGTACACACACAGCCAGTACTCTAGTTCTTGAAGGCGAACAACTGCCATCTCTTACATCCAGCCTTTGGGGGTCCCTGGTAGATATGTTTCCATCAGTAACTATGAAAAAATTTTATATGGTATGTTACCCAGAACGACAAAGGAAAAAATTTTACGGAGGATCAAATGACAAAATAATATGAAAAACCACTAAGAGAATATTCCATCAGGGGAAAAAAAGGCTAATAACTACCTTCAAGCAGTCAAGCAAGGTGGATGGTGAGATGTTTTCCATTTCCAATTAGACCTCAAAGAGAAAATTTGGTTTAAGCTCTTTAGATTGGCTTCAAAGAATAGAAACCAATAAGATAAGTTATTACGTGTTCGAAATCTTCAGCATTTTAGGTGGAGTATATGCTTTAGAGCAAAGGTGATTAATTGTGAAAGTAGCACCGTTAATCAGCAAAGAAGGACTAAAAGATGCAACAGCAGATGTGCTGATGCATTCCTGTCCTTCCATGCCCTGTTCTCTATGGTTCAGGGCTGGATGTTTGCAAATTACCCTTCCCAGATGCTCCTGCCCCAGCTGCTGGCTAGGTTTGGCAAATAGGAAGTACTACAAGGAGTTTGGAAGGCAGATGAAGAAGAGAAGCCACACTCTTTCCTTTTTATCTGCTTCTAGTGGCATCTCCGTCAGCAAGAGATGGCTACATGTTCCAACAGCCTTTGGCAATTCCAGTAAAGAGAGCAGTGGTTAACTGTTAGCTTCTGGGAGTTACAGGCTCTAAAAATACTGGCAGGCCAGCAGCACTGGTTTCAGTAGTAGCAGCAGCTTCCACCAGCATCAGCCATAAATATACTCCCGGACTCGTGTAAACATCACCTCCTCCCTTTTGTTCCCCCAGGCCTTGCTTCCCGCCATACAAATCTCTGAGTTATTTCACCTTTTTCATTTTATCCCTTCAGACACTCTTGTAACCAGATCCCTGTATTAAACACTCTCCGTTTAAGCTTTCATTTCTGGCCAAGATGGAGTGATAGGGACTGAATTTACCCTCGTGCCTGAAACTACTACAAAATGGACAAAACATACGAGACAACAGTTTTCGAGACATTGGAGATCAGGCAATGAAGGATACTGATCCCTGAGAGATGGGAAAAAAACAAGGTGAGCCCTATGCTGGTCCAGCCTGCTACCTTGAGAGGGTTTTCAGGCCATGTGCCCAGGTGGAGACGAGCAGACTTCCTGAGTTGGAAATGGAGCTGGGTGTCCAGGGAGAGCAAAGCAGTTAGAGTTCACAGGGAAGAAAACACAGAGGAAATGGCAGCACCAAGAGAGAACTCCAAGAGCTATAGATTGTGGAAGGACTGCTTTAGGGTCCTTTATTTCAGCAGAGTACTGACCATCAAATGCATGTAGGAAACCATTCAAGGCCAGAAAAAGAGCTACCCTCAAGGATTAGAGGGAACAACACTCAGCTCACATGGGGTTGAGAATAATGCCTGTTCCCACCAGCCAGCTTGAAGCACCTCCTAATTTCATAATTCATGGGCTATTGGGTAGGGTGCTCTGAAGGGCCATGTCTTGGAATTGGGGAATAATAACCATAGGCTCAAAGCTGCTCTAATCCTGCCTAACACACCTTAAAAGCAAGACCCAAAAGGATCAAAGTGTATCCAAGCAATTAACTGTGTCCCAGGACAAAGCTCGAGAACATTTACAGGAATGCAAAACTATCTTGCAGCCAACAAGGTAAAACCCACAATCCAGTCAAGAATTACCAGCCGTGCAAACAAGCAGGAAAATATGACTCACAATGTGTAAGAAAGTCAATCAACCAAAACCAAAGCGGAACTGACACAGATGTTAGACTTAGCAAGCAAGCACATTAAAACAGTAATGATAAATTCATTCCCTTTGTTTGAAAAGCTAGAAGAAAGATTATACATGTTAAGTAGAGACATGGAAGATACTCTTTTAAAGACCCAAATCAAACTTCTACACATGAAACTACGTCTCAGATTAAAAATACACTGGATGGGATTAACAGCCAATTAGACAGTGCAGAAGAAAAGATTAGTGAACTTGAAGATATAGTCATTGAAACCATCCAAAGAAAACACAGAGGGAAAAAAAGACTTTAAAAAAATAATATAAGTGAGCTCAAGGACAACTTCGAAAGAAACTACCCAAAATTAAATACAGAAGGAAAAAAGACTAAAAAAATATCACATGATAAGAGGCTCAACATTACTAATCCTTAGGGAAATATAAATCAGCACTACAATGAGATACCACCTCACACCATCAGAATGGCCTCTATCAAAAAACCAGAAAATAACAAATGTTGCAAAGATGTGGAGAAAATTGAAACCCTTGTGCACTGCTGGTGGGAATGTGAAATGGTGCAGCCACTCTGGAAAACAGTCTGGTGTTCCTTCAGAAATTGAAAATAGAATTACCATATGATCTAGCAATTCCACTTCTGAGTATGCACCCAAAAGAATTGAAAGCAGGATCTTGAAGGGACATTTGTACACTTATGTTCATAGGAGCATTATTTACAATAACTAAAATGTGGAAATAATCCAACTGTCTACCAACAGATAAACAGATAAGCAAAGTGGGGCCTACACATACAACGGAATATTATTCAGTCTTAAAAAAGAAGAAAATTCTGCAATATGCTACAACATGGATGAACCTTGAGGACATTGTGTTAATGAAATGTCAGTCACAAAAAGACAAATACTGTATGATTCCACTTATATGAGGTACCTAGAGGAGTTAAATCCATAGAGACAGAAAGTAGCATGGGGAGTTATTGATTAATGGACATGGAGCTTCAGTTCTGCAGGATGCAAAGAGTTTTGAAGATGGCTGGTGGTGATGGTTGCACAACGCTGTGAATGTATTTAATGTCAATCAACTGTACCCTTAAAAATGGCTAGGGCCGGCCCCGTGGCTTAGTGGTTAAGTGTGCGTGCTCCGCTATTGGCGGCCTGGGTTCGCATCCCGGGCGCGCACCGATGCACCACTTCTCGGGCCATGCTGAGGCTGCGTGCCACACACAGCAACTAGAAGGATGTGCAGCTATGACGTACAACTATCTACTGGGGCTTTGGGGAAATAAAGGAGAAGGATTGGCAATAGATGTTAGCTCAGAGCCGGTCTTCCTCAGCAAAAAGAGGAGGATTAGCATGGATGTTAGCTCAGGGCTATCTTCCTCACACACACACACAAAAAATGGCTAAACTGGTAAATTTCATTATATGTTTTTTACCATATTTTTTTAAAAAGAGTACTTACTGCTTGATTCCATTTATTTTATATAGATTTCTAGAAAATGAAACTAAGCTACAGTGATGGAATTTCAAATTGTCAAGGGGAAGGGGCAGGAGCGAGGATTACAAAGGGGCATTGTCTTGATTGTGGTTTTATGGGTGTAGACATATGTCAAAATCTATCAAATTGTACGCTTCAAATATATACAGTTTTTGTATGCCAATTAAACCCTCAATAAAGCTCTTTCCTAAAAAATAGCCTCTTTTTGAAGTTCCTGCCTGGGTTCTGGTTTATTTTTGCTGGACTGGTCTCTGAGTAAAATGTATCCTGGTCTCACCAGACTGTAGGTTCAGATGAGGCCACGCTATTGGTAATAACCCATAATTTCTTGATTCTTACTCCCCTTGCTAATGTACAACTTCAGCCATACACACAAACTCGCACAGACACTCACACAACTCACATACACACACACTCACACAGTCTCACTCAGATAGCTTTAGGAGTCTCCAGGATACTGTTGGCAGAACCGCCTTTGCACTAAAACAAGTCACTTGTGCCCTAGAGCCTCATAGAGTCTTCCCTGAAACCTGCATCTTCAGCTTATGCCTCTAGCTTTTATTTCTGTCAGGTTCTGACACACAGAACAGGGGGTAGACCAAGGGAACAACCTCAGACAGACGTCAGGACATCCTCTCTATTCCTCTCTATTCTTCTCCCGCTGGCTCACTCCTCCAAAACTGCAAATAAATTCCCGCATCCTGCCCCACAGGTTTATCAGACATGCCCAGAGAAATCTGAATTCCAGCGGTGAACTCAGGTGAGCAGGACTCCCAGTCCACATATGTCAAGATGACAGTGTTGAAACACTACCTGTTAGGGCCTCTGGATTTTAAGGTCTCCATGTACTCATTTTACAAATATGTACCACCACTCCCTAGGGAAAACCTGCCAACAGCAGGCCCCATAACTAGTGCGATAGGATGACGTGTCGAGTATTGCATTTTGGCAGAGTTAGAAATTAAGGCACCCAACTGTACGCCCTATGCCCCTGCAACCACCTACGCTTGGACTTATGAAAACAAAGTCACCAGATGCTAGTCTGCTGGGTTCAAAGCACCCTCCACTGGGTGTGGGACAAAAGAGGTGGGGGAGTGTGGGACACCCGGGAGCATTGGTGCCCTTCCCTCTGAAGGAAGGAAGGAAGAGAAAAGGAGAAACGAGATTGTGTGGTCTACACTCGATACCTCCCCTTCCCCCTGCTCTGTGATGTGTGGAGGAAGGATAGGTCTGATTCACAGGACCCAGTTAAATTGAGACACCGAGAACCTCAGGGTGACCATGTAGAGAGATGGAGATGTTAATTAGCTTGATCGTGGTGGTCTTTTCACAACGCATACATGTATCAAAACATTAAGTAGAACACCTTAAGTATATACAACTTTTATATGTCAAAAGTATCTCAATAAAGCTGTTAAAAAAAAAAGCTGAGGGGAGTCTGGCTGTTTTGAGAGCAGCAGGCAGGAGTAAAAATCCTGCACCACCAGAAGTAGGATTCTTCTCCTCAGGGTGAACGTGGCCTGAATGGGATCCAAATGTCCCCACTAGAGGTTAACTGAAGGCATGGACGGGCACAGTTTCCAGGATCACCGAGGACAGAGCCTGGGCGCCCTGCCACAGACCCGAAGAGAGTTGAGGCCAAAAACTTTAGTGGATCTCCGTGCCAGGAACAGAATGGCACCGACAGACCTGCAGGTCGCCACCCCCCAGGGCCTGCAACAGGAAATTCTCAGCACCTGAAGACATCTGGGGCCGAGACGGAAGAGAGACTTCCCCCTCCGATATGTGGCCAACTGTAGACGCCACCACCCCCTCCTTCCCCGAGCCCAGGCTGCGTGAGCCCTGACAGTGGTACAGAGGAAGACGGAGACAGAATCCTGAGGTAGGATTTTAAACTAAACTCTGACTGAGTTAATAATTGACCTGAGAAATTACCGAAGTGGACAGATTAAAAAACATGGAGTGGGTGAGATTCGATTGAAGGCACCTGGCAGATCATGTGTAGAATCAGAAATTAAATGTCATGACTAAAATGCTTCTGCCACCCTGGGTCACTCTACCTGGAAGAATCCAATGGCATCTTTGCTCCCAAACTACACCTTTGGGATTCACGGTCTTTTCCCTTCCTTTTCTCCAATCGTTCTCCTCCCTGGAGACTTTTCAGTCATTTTATTTTTTTTTTATTTTATCTTTTTGTGTGTGTGTGTGAGGAAGATTAGCCCTGAGCTAACATCCATTGCCAATCCTCCTCTTTTTGCTGAGGAAGACTGGCCCTGGGCTCACATCCGTGCCCATCTTCCTCTACTTTACATGTGGGACGCCGCCACAGCACGGCTTGATAAGCGGTGTGTCGGTCCACGCCTGGGATCCAAACCTGTGAATGCTGGGCCGCCAAAGTGGAGCGCTCGAACTTAACCACTGTACCACCCGGCCAGCCCCTCGATCATTTTAAACTGACAAGCCATTTGCTGCACTCAAAGGAATCCTGCAAGACAATGATATTAGAGAATAAATAAGCTGCAAGTAGAGTGAGTCACACTACACCTCTGCAGGGGACAATTGTTCACAAGTGCCCACCATGCAGGAGAATTCTGTTGACCGCCTCCTTAAACCCAGGCACGGTTTTGGCCGAAAAAAATGTGAGAAGAATTATGTGCCACCTATTGGCTGAAGCTTTAAGAGACAGACAGCACACCAAGCACAGCCTCACCACGGCAAGTTTCAGCCTGGATGGCAGCGTGAAGGCGACCTGGAACAGACTCTTGACCAAACTGCAATAAGATGTAGCTTGAATAAAAAACAAACTTGTGCTGTTATCAGCCACTGATATCTGGGGGCTGTTTGTCACGGAAAGCTAATCTGGCTGATTCTGACTGACACACTATCATTCAGAGGTGCACAGAAATTGTAGCTTCTGTATTTAATCTATAAGGAATCAGGCCCTGACCACTAGTCGGCGTAAAAATGAAAACTAATTACGTAAGATGTCCTATCCAATTTAAACAATCCCTGTAGGTGATGTTCAGTGTCTCTTTAATAAAAATGCTCAGAGTCCCAAATATCCTCTCCCCACCTCTGCTTCTTGCCTGGAGGTGGTTTCCAGGTAGTGTGGGAAGGGGTGGCTCACACAACTTCATGGCCATGGGAAAGAGCCAGGGTCCTCAAAGGCCATACCCTGCTTTCTCCAGACCCTGCCACTGGTTGCCCTGCTGGAATTCTCAGCTGCGGCTGCAGTGGTCATACGCTGTGACCTGCTCTCTCTAGGTCTGGGCACCACCCCGATAGCTCTTCCCTGCTGACCCAGCCTTATCTCAGTTGACAGGCTTCATAGATCGTTCTGGGCTGCCTGCAACCCACCTACACCATCTAGGCTGCTTCCCTCACTACAGTCAGCCCTCTGGAAAACTCTCTGGCCAGAATCGTGGCTATTTTCTGTTTCCCAACTACACGGAGTCTCTTCCCTCCTGAACACACTGCAGCCTGCGGGCCACACGGCTGTGCCTCACGCTGGTGTGGGGACCCACTACACGGAGTCTCTTCCCTCCTGAACACACTGCAGCCTGCGGGCCACACGGCTGTGCCTCACGCTGGTGTGGGGACAGGTCAAGAGGCTCTCCTTACCCAAGTCCCAGCTGAAGAAAGCGGTAGTCCTTTCCTCAGGCTCCTCCACACATCTGACCCCATCACGCACCTGCCTCCCACTCTGTCTTCATCTCACCATCTCCTGAGGCAAGAAAGGGGCAGAAGCCCCCCTTCTTCTTGGTGTCTAGACCTTACGTATGAAACTCTAAGGACTAACCACCAAACCTGACACTTGATATGCTAGAGGGGGCATCCATGACCATTCTTTCTCAAGAAAGTAACCTGGCCAAAAAGCCTACTTATTGCTCTGCTTCAAAACCCTATTTTGGGATAGTTTGTGAAGCACACAAGAAAAAGTGTTTCATGCAATGCTGGAAGGCTCAGATCCTACTCTCTCACTAACTAGCTGTGTGACCTTGGAAAATTTATGTAGCCTCCCTGATCCACCACATTTTCATTGGTAAAATGTGGGTATTAATTCCTTTGATGTCTGAGTGAAATGTTCGTATCCAAAAATTTTAATATTTTGACATCTAGAAAGTACTCAATAAACGGTGGCTAATAAAAATTATCATCATGGTTAATGATGATGATAATGAATCAAGATCAGCCATTTAAAAGCTAAAATAAAATCCTATTTTGAATATACCCCTACCATGTAACTCAGGAACTTTACTCCCAGAAAATTTTTAAGAGAAATTTATATATATATATATAAATTTACATATATTCATAAATGTACATACATATGTGTATAGACATACAATAAAAATTATCATCATGGTTAATGATGATGATAATGAATCAAGATCAGCCATTTAAAAGCTAAAATAAAATCCTATTTTGAATATACCCCTACCATGTAACTCAGGAACTTTACTCCCAGAAAACTTTTAAGAGAAATTTATATATATATATATAAATTTACATATATTCATAAATGTACATACATATGTGTATAGACATACAATACATATATATACAATACATATATGTAATTTATATATATAGACACACGATACATATATATGTACACACACACATAATGTTTGTACAAAAATGTTCATAGCAGCTTTGTTCATAATTGCCAAAAACTGGAAACAACTCAAATGTCCATCAACAGGAGAAAGATGAACTAATTGTATATTTCAACAGTGGAATCTTACTCAACAATAAAAAGAAACAAACTACTGATATACACAGAGGATGAACCTTAAAAACGTTATGCTCAGCAAAAGATGCCAGATGTAAAAGACCACATACTGTATGATTCTATTTATACGATTTCAGAACAGGCAATAAAGGAAATCAGAACAGTCGCTAAGGACACCGGGTAGAGTGGAAATTGACTGGGAAGGGACACCAGGGTCTTTCTGGGGATGTGGAAACGTCCTATCACTTGATATAGGTATGGGTGTGTGCATTTGTCAAAATTCATTACGTAAAGTACATCTCAATGAAAAATGTTAAATTTATTTTGAATAGCAGAAGCTATCACCGTATTTCACCAAATCCAAGATGCTATCGACTGTAAGATTCGCCATTATTTTATGTACCAGAAAGAAAGGAAGGAAGGAAGGAAGGAAAACACTACCACTAAAACTATGACACACTGTATGCTGTCTTAGTCCTTTCTTTGCATTTCTTCTATAACCATCCTAAACTCTAATCTCCCCACTCCCCACTAGACTCCTGGATGCCCCAGGCCAACAAAAGTCTTAGAAAGACAAAAGAGAAAAGCACATTAATTATTTTCTAAACATAATTCTTGTCAAACAGGCATATTGACCCATGGTTCTAAAATTAACCTGTTTAAGTTTAAAGTCCTTAATTAATGGTTGACTGATGCTTTTATCTGGTTAAAGAGGCAAGGACGCACTTCGGTCTTGAATTTAGGTCAAAACTGTTCTCCCCACAGCAAACTGAACTCTGTGGTTATGACATTTAGATTCCACTTGTGGAAGTCTCTTTCACCGGCTTCCTTTCCAGAGCGGAACTCTCCAGGTTACAATGTCTTGTGAACCAAAAGTTTATCTTGGAGGATATAAGTGTTTGGAACTCAAAATTCGTTTTCCCCGCATATTTAGCAGTGTGTCTGTGGAGGTGGGATTTCACTTTATTTAAGCTTTGGTCCCAGTCCCTTCTGTCTGGATGGATATTGCTAGTTGCCTTAGAACAGAGCTTCTTTTCCTCATTTTGAGTATTTGCCCCTTTGTTATGCAAATATGAACCAAAGTCTTAACTCTGGCCCTGGGAAAGTATGTAACAAGACCACTAATCAACCGGGAAAGGCCAATACCAATTCTTGCAATACCTCTGAGCTTGCAGAGTTTCTGATGGGCGGAAAGTAAATTTCCAAAGGAGCTTCCTGGAAAGAGAGGACTGACCTCCTTTTCAAGGTTCAACGACTGCAGAACTTCTCTAACATATTAGGATGATCTCAATGAGGTATGTTGATGGAAAAAGACATCACAAGCTCCAACACACTGTGAGGGAACAAGGACTCTGTACCAGCGATCCATGCCCCAAACCAGACCTTAGATATTTATGAGGATGACTAGACCTAGCACAACACATAAATAAGTCTGGTTTGGTAAAAATGCATTTGAGTTGTTTCAGTCAGGATCCAGCCAGGAGAATAGAAGCCTTTTTATGTATTTCAAACAGAAGGGGATTTAATACAGGGAATTGGTTGCAAAAGTTTTGGAATGCTTAGCAGAGCAAAAGGCGAGGTTCCCTACAGATCAGTTACTGCAGGAAGCCCCTACTGTCCCTAGGGTTGGAGCTACAGGAGGTATCACCCAGAGCAACCACTTGCTGCTATTGCTACTCTATGCTGCTGTTAGAGCTACCCCTGCTGCCCAGGAGGTGACACTCCTACTGAGGGAGGAGCCTGGAATTCCACACTCCTGAATCTGTGGCCAGGAGCAAAATGGCTTGTGCACTCTTCCTACTTATACTCTTGTATGAGTGCCTCCTGTTGGGTGAAACCTAACTGGACTCAGCTGCAAGGGAGATTAAGAAATGTAGTTTTCAGGCTTCCTTGGAATAGGCAAAGACTGCCTAGAGATGACACAGAACGCACGAATCATAAAAGAAAAAATTGATACATTTGACTTTATTAAAGTTAAAACTTCTACTCATCAAAAAATAAAATAAAATAGGGGCTGGCCCCATGGCGTGGTGCTTAAGTTTGGCGCACTCTGCTTCAGCCACCCAGAGTTCGTGGGTTCAGATCCTGGGTGCAGACCTACACCACTCGTCAGCCATGCTGGAGCAGCAACTCACATGCAAAATAGAGGAAGGTTGGCACAGATGTTAGCTCAGGGCGACTCTTCCTCAGCAAATTAATTAATTAATTAATTAGCCAAACCAAAGACTGGGAGAAAATATTTGCAAAACATATATATGACAAAGGACTTGTATCTAAAATATATAAAGAACAAACAAACTTATATTTAAAAATGGCCAAAAAAACTTGGACAGGCAAATCGAATTGGCAATAAGAACATGGAAAAAGTGTCCAGTATCAGAGAAAGGCAAAGGAAATTCACAATGAGATACCACTACAACACTAGAATGTTTTAAATAACATTTTTTAAAAATTGGCTAAAATGAAAAAGACAAAAAAAAACACACAAATTTTGGAAAGAATGTGAAGCAACCAGAACTCTTATACAAGGCTGGTGGAAGTGCAAAATTTTACGGCCACTTTGCAAAACTGGTAGTTTCTTAAAGAGTCAAACACACATGTAACCCATAGTCCAGTGAGTCAACTCCCAAGTCTTTGCCCAAGAGAAATTAAAACACACGTCCATGAAAAGCCTTGCGCAATCATTTTCATAGCAGGTTTATTCACAAAAGCCAAAAACTAGACAGACCAGGTTTCCGTCTACAGATGGATGGGTAAACAAACGTGGTGTATCTACACAGTGGAATACTACTAAAAAGAACAGACTACCGAAATACACAGCAATATGAATGAATCTCAAAATACTAGGCTGAGCAGAAGAAACTGGACACAAAAAAGTACATTCTGCATGAGTCCATTTGTATGAAATCCCAGATAGGCAAAACTAACTGTGGTGATGGAAATAGATCACTTGTTGCTCTTATGCAGTAAAATTGACTGGAAAGAGGCCTCAAAACTGATGGAACTGTACGCTTAAGACCTAAGCATTTGACCAAATGTACAATTTATCTCTATTTTTTAAAAAATGGCCTACCCTCCTTTTTGTTGGGTGTGGTTGGAATGGCCACAGAGTGGCTTCTGTGAATCTTCAGTAATCTTTCTGATCTCTCCACAGAAAATGATTTTACAAAAGCATTGTCATGTGAAAAGAATACACAACTAAAAATATTATAGAGGTGTGTTAGGCAGTTAATTAATTTTTTAAATGTTATATTATTTTTCTGGATATTTTGATTTTTGTTTTATTTGTAGACTTTTCAAAATATGTAATTTCTTGTGTTTTATTTTCTCATTCTTTGACTTTTATACCTGAAAGAAGAGGGAAAGACTATGGCCCAATCTTCTCTCAATGACCCTTTAAAAATCTCCCCAGGGGGCCGGCCTGGTGGCATAGTAGTCAAGTTCACGCACTCCCACTTAGGCAGCCCAGAGTTCACAGGTTCGGATCCCAGACGCGGACCTATGCACCGCTTATCGAGCCATGCTGTGGCAGGCATCCCACAGATAAAGTAGAGGAAGATGGGCACAGATGTTAGTCCAGGGCCAATCTTCCTCAGCAAAAAGACGAGGATTGGCAAGGGATGTTAGTTCAGGGCTAATCTTCCTCACCAAAAACAAACAAACAAACAAACAAACAAACCAAAACTCCCCATGAAGTCATTTAGGATCTAATGCAAGTATGAACCCAAGTGTACTTTCCTAGCTCTCACTTCATAAACTCAAAAGTCCCGTAATAACCAGCACAAAATTGCTGGCTCAAAAAAAAAAAAAGTCCAGGCTCAAAGAAATAAGAGGTTAAGGGCATGTTGCTGTGGATTAAAATCGAGTGAGTAAGTGTGAACCCTAATCGGGCACAGAAAATGTCCTATTTGTAAGCTCTGCCCATGAAAAACCAAGTCAACGAGAGGTCATTAAAATACCAAATAATAGGACTATTATTACTAATAGTAATAATGATGACTAATAGTAATAATGATGAACCACAAAAAAGAGGTCAGGCACTAGGCTAAGAGCCCTACATGAACTCTCACTTGACCCCACAACAAACCCACTTCCGTTCCCACCTCGAAGATGAGAAAGTGGAGGCAGAGAGAGGCCAAGTCACAGCGAGGGTGTAGGAAGACCCACAGTCAGGCGCTCTGACTTCATGACCCATAGGCTCACCGTCGGTGCACCACAACAACGTGACACGCACCTCGACACCAGTGCTTCCTTTGGAGAAGGCCCCTGGGAGAACCAGAAGGCTGAGGCCAGTCGCCAGTATGAGTGTCTCCTCAGGGGCCCAATGATTATTTTAACTCCTATTCTTGCTCTTTGGATGGAATTTTCTACAATTATTTTGGATCCCCAGTGAATGACAAGAGAAATATATTCTGGTTATTTCTTCCCGATGTTCCTGGAAATGACCTCTCTGATTTCACAGATTGATTTGGGAAGTTGAGATTGAACATTCGTCAGGAAAGAACGTGCCTGGCTGGGTATATATTTGTTTACCTACTGCAGTAATCTGAGCCCTATTCCCTCTACTTTCTTGGGGTTAAAATGGAGGATAGAACTTGTTCTCCATGGTTTCATCACAAGGGAGCCGAGGTCACTCTTCTCTCATTAAAGACGGTGAGGAAAAAAGTTTTTCAAAGCTGCGAGCAATTTCTATATTTCACAGGCACCTATCAGTCATCAAATTTTCTTTATCATTTCGGCCCCCAGTATTTATGCATTTACATACCTCTCCTGGAATAGTTCATTCATGGAGAGTTAACCTGCAGACTTGTGCATATAGGAAACCTCGGAATGGTGAAAGAGG